CAGAGATCCACCTGGCTCTGCCTCCCGAGTGCTGGGATTAAAGGCGTGCGCCACCACCGCCCGGCTAATTAAGAGATTTTTATAAAATAGCTACTAGGTAATATTATCTATAGCTAAATTTTATATGGTAAAGTATCTGCTAAAACATAACCGATTATACTTTTCTACGTTTTCATAAATCTCCTATGGTATGCTGGCTATTAGCTTTTTCTTTCCATTAACTTCCATGGGGCTAGTCCCAGAAGACTAACGTCTAATACACATCGAGGCAAAAGGGCATATCTTACGATCAGTTACAAATACCCTTAAAGTTGTCTCTCTTTTACATAATTTTTAACTTTCAACAACTGCTGTAATAAAGCAAAAATTTCCTAATGCTCCAATTTGCATTTCTAAATTTGAATCTCAAATGAATTCTTTTCTGTTCAGAAAAGCCAGCACTCAAAAACAGTTCAATCTTTCTGGTGGTCAGGAGGTGGATAATGGAACCTTAGGGAATACATTTCCCTAGAAAAGTGTTTACAATGTAAACTTAACAGAACACACAGGAAACAATCAGATCATAACCAGAGAGTGGCAGAGGACAAGTGACAGCTCAGAAGCATCTCCTGGCACTCCCCCTTAAAAGTCAGAGAGAATGCCGGAAGTGAATTACAGGCTATAACCTTGGAATCGTTAGGGCATCACTTGATGGGCAAATGTAGTAATTTAATAAAGCTATAGTGCTTATAACAGAAAAACATCATGAAACCAAGTGCTGTCCACAGTTGATTTCTTCTTGATACCAAAGTACTTAACACGAAAACTGAAAAAAATAAATCTAATTTGATAGTTTCTATGTAACCAGTTACTGCCTATCCTGTGCTTTCAATTGCTTAAAAAAAGGAAGGAAAAAATACTCAGAGTTAAAGAAGTAATCTCCAATGTACAGAATACTCTGCCTTACCAAAAACAGAAAACATATAAAATTTAATCTATCAAGATTTAAAAAGAGAACTTAAACACCAAATTACCTAAACTGAGAAATATTTTAATAAGCAAATTCATTTCCTTTTCATATATTTATCTATAAGAGGTACAATTTCCAAAACCATACATTGCTATTCCAAGATTTTCAATAAGCTCTTTAATGTTTCCAAATTGTGGTGAGTCATTTTTTTCATACAGACACAAAATTAAATTAAGCGACACCTATTATTTGCTTGATAATTTCAATGTGCCTCATAAACAAAATTATTTCCATCACTAGCCAGGGGCATGAAAGTAAAACTGAAATCATCTCATCAGGGAAACTGCCTCAAAGCCGCAGCAAGGTGCGAGCAACCACCACGACAGAGCAACAGTCACGATGTGACGCAGCCCCTACTTCTGAACGGGTCCGGTGTGCCTGACTTCTCGCCATTCTTCGTCTGGACTTGAAGTAATGGAAAGTGAGTAGCAACCACTGCTTTGTTTCTGCAGGAAAGTGTACGTAGGCTTGATGGTCTCTGTACTGGAGAGCTAGGAGAAAAAGACTCTTATGAGTACATAAAAACAAACATTAGTTTTGAAAAACACAGAGGTCAAATCTAGATTTGTAACTAAAAGAAATGTATATCAAGGAGTAACAAATACACTTTTAAATATGTATATGCTCTACATATATAATCAAATGAAACAATTACTTTTCATCAAAAGATTTCATATACAATACAAGGGCTAAAGTTTAACCTAAAGTCCTACTTCCAGGTATGAGTTCCACAATTAAAGAAGAATTTAACTTTGTGGTTCAAAATAATCAAAAAAGGTATTAGGAAAAAAATAAAATTTTACATTAAAGGAGACTGAGCTTATATCATAACTGATATTCTATTATTAAATTAAGAGTAATATATAAATTTGTATATGTGATATAGATCAGCTTTCTGCTTCACCTAACACTATTATGAGTATCTATGGGTTTTTTTGAGTAGAAGAGCCTTAGAATACACTTCTGTACATATCTATATGTGTGAACAAATGTGTGTGCCATAGCTACTTAGAAAATATTTTTCCTTCTAGACATAATTCACAGTTCTACAAGTCACAAGTATATTATCAATCTACAGAAAGGCATAACATTTTTTATTTCTTTTATTTACCATTAACACTGTGCATGTATGTTTATGATGCTTATGTATGGGCATGCATGAGCCATAGCATGTGTGTGGAAGCTGGTTCTCTTCTCCTAGCTTTCTGTGAGTTCCAGAAACTTGCACAACAAGCACTTTACCCAATAAGCCATCTAAAAGACCTCTAAACATAATATTTTTTATTATTATGGTTTTGAGCTAATGTTAGACTTATAGAATTTTGAAAAAAAAGAAAAACCCTATCTATATCCTCCTGAGCTTAATATCAGAAATCAGTAAAATCTGACTATCAAAAGTAAAAAAGTAACACTGAGAGAATATTAGCCAAGGACTTTGGTCGGATTTCACTGCTTTTCCTACTAATGTCCTTTTTCTATTTCAGGATCCCATAATTCTCAGTCTTTTCTTGTCTGGGTTATACATTATTGAGAAGAAGACTACAGAAGTGGTTTGCCCTGCTCAGTGTGAAGGGCATGGCTTACTGCAGACAATGTTAACTACACTCACTTGGCTATGGTGATGTCTGCCAGGTCTCTCCACTACAGAGTACTACCTTTCATTTTCTAACTTAATGAATATTTGGGGTATGGGACTTGAGGTTATACATATATGCTAGTTCTCCATGAGTTTTTATCCATTAAATTCAGAATGCATTCATGAACCTGGCAGCCAGCAACAATCATAAATATAGTGTTTTAGTTGTGACTTTGTATTTTCTTTTTCTTTACAATATTGAATTCTACTCGAATAACTGTCCACACCACTTATTAATTCATTCAGTTCTTTACTCCATATCTACATCAGTATAGACCCAGGGATGTCTATGCGGTCCTCTGGTTATAATCTCATCCTATCGCTACTGATTTTGCTGGAGAAACTTTCCAGTATTGACCCTGGAAATTCTTTTGTGTGCCCGTGTCCTTCTAACACAACAGCATTTGACCAGAGAAACCACTTTCACTCTCTCCTCGGTCAGTTGTGTCACCATATGCTGACCTGAGACAGCGACTTCCTCTTCGATTCTGTATCAGCAGCAGCTGTATCCGTGAAAGAACAAGTGGAAGCACAGTAATAATGAATAAAAGAGCTTTCTTTTGGAGAGAAGTCCTGGAACAAAGGAAACGCCTGAACCCAAGACAATGGGTAAGAGAGTTCCGATTCTCCATTGGTCATACTTATTTCCATCATAATATCTTTCAATTTCAATTCTTCTGTTTGTGAAATGGAACTGTTTAACTCAAGGAAAATGAATTCACCGGCTTTTGCTATAAAAGAAAAAAGAAACCAATTTTTATCAACACTTTTTTTAAAGATGATTACAATTAATCTAATTGTGAATAACAACAAAGATTTTATGTAAAACTCAACCAAGTATTTTGTATGTTAGATAATAACAGACAAGTTTAAATTCTGAAGTAGACAGTTAGTAATCAAAAACCCAAATTCACAATTATTAGGCTCCTATTCTACTTCTATTCATTTTCATTTGGAATGAAAATTCCAAACAATACTGACTGCTCCATCTGCTGTACCTGGCATTTAAAAAGTGCTAACAAGTATTTGCTATGAGTGTATAAATGAATGAATGATAATTGAGCCATTATTTATTTTACTCTGGCCTCTGCCATAGATCCATCTGTCAACTAAAAGAGCATTCTGATTAAATACGTCCTTCCTCATTTTAACAAACCATTTCAGTAATAGTCACACACAAAATTATTATCAACTCACCCACAATTCCACAGCCTCTTGTTATCTGATTATGAATTTCTCTATTGTATGTAATTAGAAGAGGAAACTATTAATTTTATGAGTATAAAATTTAACTCCCTATAACATCTAGCATAATATAAAAAAGTAGAGGGGAGAATGAGATCAAAGAGGTAAGGATAAATATAACTAACTTTACCTAATTCTAAACCAGATACCCCTGGGAGTTGAAAAATAAACGAAGTTGGTATTTCAAGATACATATATGCCGCTATGTGTGTGCTATGAGAACACACAGAAAAGCATTCAAGTCTTAGAAGTCTGATAATGTATATAAGCCTGGGGAGATGAGCTTTTTCCCCAGGAGCTACATAGTGCAAGAAAAGAAGTGACTCTCAAAAGGTGTTCTCTGACCTCCACACAGGCATTGTGGGGTGCGTGCGTACGTGCGTGTTGCACACACATATAAATAAATGCAAAAAAAAGTTAAAGAAAAAAGAAAGCTCAGCAATACTTAGTCAACCTGATCAAAACAAAGAGAAGTCATAGATTAATAATATTAGATATAAAAAGAGAACTATTACAAGAGATAACTATGAAATCCAAGGGACCTTTAGAGAATACTTTGAAAACCTATCTAGCCAGGTGGTGGTGGCACACGCCTTTAAACCCAGCACTCGGGAGGCAGAGCCAGGCAGATCTCTGTGAGTTGGAGGCCAGCCTGGGCTACAGAGTGAGTTCCAGGAAAGGTGCCAAAGTCACACAGAGAAACCCTGTCTCAAGAAAACCTAAAAAAGAGAGAGAGAGAGAGAGAGAGAGAGAGAGAGAGAGAGAGAGAGAGAGAGAAAGAAAGAAAGAAAGAAAGAAAGAAAGAAAGAA